GTATAGCATAAAAAGTCATAAAAACGACATAGTATAATGGCATAAAAAGTCATAAAAACAACATAGTATAGTATGGCATAAAAGTTAAAGAAAGTCATAGTATAATAAGGCAAAAAAGTCATGAAACGGACATAGTATAGTAAGGCATAAAAAGTCATACTAGAGTAAGGCATAAAAAGTCATAAAACGACATAGTATAGTATGACATAAAAAGTCATAAAAACGTCATAGTATAGTATGGCAAAAAAGTCAGAAAAATGACATAGTATAGTAAGGCAGAAAAACATCACAATATAGTAAGGAATAAAAAGTCCTAAAAATAACATAGTATACTAAGCCATAAAAAGTCTTAAAAATGATATAGTATAGTATGGCTTGAAAAGTCATGAAAACATCATAGTATAATATGGCATAAAAATTCATAAAAACGTCATAGTATAGTATGGCAAAAAAGTCATAAAAAGTCATAGTATAGTATGGCATAAAAGTTAAAGAAAGTCATAGTATAATAAGGCAAAAAAGTCATGAAATGGAAATAATATAGTAAGGCATAAAAAGCCATACTAGAGTAAGGCATAAAAAGTCATAAAACGACATAGTGTAGTATGGCAAAAAAAGTCATAGAAACGTCATAGTATAGTATGGCAAAAAAGTCAGAAAAATGATATAGTATAGTAAGGCATAAAAAGTCATAAAACAGACATAGTATAGTATGCCATAAAAAGTCATAAAAACCTTATAGTATACTATTGCATAAAAAGTCATACAAACGACAGTATAGTAGGGCATAAAAACATCACAGTATTATAAGGGATAAAAAGTCATAAAAAGTCCTAGTATATTATGTCATAAAAAGTCATGAAAACGTCATAGTATACTAAGGCATAAAAACTCAAAAAAATGCCACAGTATAGGATGCCATAAAAAGTCATGAAAACGTCATAGTATAGTAAGGCATAAAAGTTAAAGAAAAATGACATAAATAGGCATAAATAGTCATAAAAACAAGATAGTATAGTTACGCATAAAACGTCATAGAAAGAACATAGTTTGTTACGGCATAAAAAGTCATGAAAAGGACATCGTATAATAAGGCACAAAGAGTCATACAAATGACATAGTACAATAAGGCATAAAAACTTCACATTCCAATAAGGCATGAAAAGTCCTAAAAAGGACACAGTATAGTCTGGCGTAAAAAGTCAGAAAAATGTCATAGTATAGTAAGGCATCAAAAGTCATCAAAACCTCATAGTATAGTATGGCATAAAAAGTCATAAAACGACATAGTATAGTAAGGCATAAAAACATCACAGTATAATAATGCATGAAAAGTCTTAAAAATGAAATAGTATAGTATGGTATAAAGAATCATAAAAACGACATAGTATAGTAAGTCGAAAAAGTCGTAAAACTGCATACTAAAGTAAGGCACAATAAGTCATAAAACAGTCATTGTATAGTATGGTATAAAAAGTCATAAAAACAACATAGAAAATGAAAGATAAACGCAGAAACATCGTCATTCCATACGTGTCTGGGGTCTCAGAGAAACTCAGGAGGATTTTTAACAAACATCAAATCCCTGTATGTTTCAAACCCAGTAACACGCTCAGGCAGAAACTGGTACATCCCAAAGACGAAACACCACACAATCAAAAAAGCAACCTGATATATGCGGTCAAATGCAGTGAGGAATGCAATGACCTATATATTGGGGAAACAAAACAACCTTTAAACAAACATATGGCCCAACACAGAAGGGCAAACTCTTCAGGCCCTGTCACAGCTGTCTACTCCCACCTAAAGGAAAAGGCAGACTCCTTTGAAGACAGCAATGTCAAAATCTTGGACAGGGAGGACAGATGGTTTGAAAGGGGAGTCAAGGAAGCCATCTATGTAAAAGTGGAGAAGCCATCGCTAAACAGGGGAGGGGGTCTGCGACACCATCTATCCCCCATCTACAATGTCGCCCTTTCATCGGTACCCAGGAGAGTCAACAACATAACCTCAGACGACTCTCAACGATCGTCATCCACCAGGGGCTCACCTGACCCTAACGACTGTCGTTCACACGGGATAACAACAGGGTCACCTGACCCTAACGACGGTCGTCCACATGAGACCACAACAATGGTCAGGTGAAACCAGTACTTTCACAGGTACTTTGGTGGACCCACCCACAAGAGGTTAAATACCTGGGTCCTACTCCACTTTCTTGGTCAGACTAGTGCGGACTAGAGAGACCAATACATAAGAACTGATGAAGCCGCTTGGATAAGAGGCGAAACGTCTTCCACAGACAAATACAAGTCCAGTTGCCTTCGATTTAATTTGAGAGAGAGATACTGTCCATATGGAAACTTATGCCCTTGAGTCAAATCTAATTAGGTATTTCCTGCTTATCTTACCTAAGGGGAGAATCCTGCTGTCTACTACTACTGGTGGGACCATTATTACCTCCAGGGTAGTAGTTTTCTGGGACACATCAATCCCTGATGGGGTCAGGATAGGGTCCTGTAGGAATGAGGCAGGAGATGGCATGTGGGTTCAGGTGGAAACATGCATTGTCAAACACACAAGGAAAGCAGTCACTCTTGTGTGGGAGTGGATAATTACATGGAGGCAGACGAGACTTGGTCTGTCTCATTGTAGTAGGTCATGAGAAACCTTTAAAAATGAGCCACAGGAAATATTTTCCTTCCTCCAAATATACCCACAGGTGTCATCACTCACGGCCCAATATAGTAAGCCAGGCTTGGGCTCTGTTTTGGCTGGGTGAAGTGAATCTGTTTACCTTATTGCAGAATAGCTGTAGTTCTCCCTGAAATAGTACAAAAATCAAAAAGAAAACAGCATCATTCACTTCCTCTGATGAACTGGATTCCTCCTCTCTTGATAAAAATCAGTCAGTACTCAGGAGTAATAAGTAGTAAATCCTCAGTTGATGGCCACTTGTTCAATTTTGGCGGGGGTCCCATACAAGGTCCATTTAGTAGATGTTCTGGAGCTTTCTGTTCATAAGAGGTAGCTTAATTTCAAAGTTTTAAACTTTTAAGTCAAGAAAGATCAAGTAAAAGAAAAAAAACAAGACAACACATTCTTAAAAGCACACACATTTAAGTTTAATTAATGAAAAGAGTGGAGGTTTGGTAAACATTTTGTCGGTGGCACTACATACATTCAGCATTATTTGGGAGTTTTTCAGTTCAATCCCACCATCAATCCTGTAACCAAAAAAGCAAACAGACAGAACCCAACCAGGGATATTTCTTAAGTTTTTGCACCAGTTCAATACAACAGAGACATTGTGTCGTTTACAATAACATATTTATGTATACAGTTCATATGATGGAAAATCTGTGTTTCTGGTCATGTGACCAGATAACTGAATTACATCTCAATATAGCACAAGCACCACTAAGATGTCTACCAGGAAGTTGAATGCACCAGTCCAGTACAGATCAGTGCAGAGGAAGGGAAAGGAGACATGAAAAGAAAGCCACATTCGACTAAATATGCACCTTTATGAGGCACAAAGCCTAAGAATTACAGTGACTGTTCATCAGTATCCTTTATGAGATCTTCTTTTAATGTTATTGTACACCACTGGGATTACATCAACAGCATGTAAAACAAAGTTAACATGGGTAGCAATATGAATAGGAGCTCTGTGACGTGGCATTGTACTGAGCCGAGACCTGAGTCTGCAGCCTTTCACACTATAAAGAGACTTTAGAACATTTAGATCAGCAAAATGGATAAACACAGTCCCAGTCTGCAGGGAGAAAAATTAAGCCATCCTGATGGACTGTCACTTATTCAACAGTATGTGATTTCTATATCTTACATTGGAAACTAAATAACAGCTAAAAGTTACCACTTCATGAGTAAGCATAGGTCATATTTATCTATACACATTTATACATTCAGGTATGACTGTTGTGTTCACTGTAATTGGCACCATTTCTTCTTTTTTTGTGTGGATAGCCAGTCAGAACTGACAGACATTGAAATGTCCAGACCTTTCTCATTTATTATCTGTCAGTAGTAGGCATGTTATGCTTCACACAGTTGCCTATTCCAACAGATCTAGGATGCTATACCTTTAACATTATCATTGTCCAGAGGCAACTTCATCCTATTTCTTCTGGCTTGACAGCAGCTTATGATCAGTTGAGCTTGACTACTTGTAACTCTGTTGAACTAAAAACACCTTCCTTCTATGGCAAACAACTCTCAAATTAAAATGATAGAAATACAACCCAGCACATCAACAAAAAGAACATGAAAACAATCAGAAGCCTTTAAGTGTGGTATGGTAATTACAAGGTAAATTTGAAGGGGACATGTCTTAATCCCAGCTCCTGCAGCAAATGAGGAATGTCTGAGCCACAGAGAATAAAAACACTGTCGTGACTCGCCATTAAGTGATGTTACAAATACCTTACAGATTTTTATGCTATTTTTATTCATTATTTTACCTTTTTTCATCTTTTTGAAATTTTTGAAAATATTTGAAAGTCAGCAACATTTATGCCTTTTGACTTTCTACAGGAAAACGCCTTTAGATAAAATAAATAAAAACAAAGCACAGACTCTCATGAATTAGATGTAATATTCACATGGAAGACAACATATACAATATTAAACATATTTCTAGACCAATACTGCCTCCTATACAACAAGGCCAACCTGCTGCTGTATTTTTGGCCAATTAACGTAATTAATTACCTTGTTGGAGCAAGTGAGATCAACAAATAAAAACACCAAGGGAACCAACTGAATGCCTTTCCACCGGTCCCAAAGCTTCCAGAAACAGACTTACTCTTTAACATAGAAAAATACTATACCAAAATGAAATACAAATATATATATATTAGAATCTGTTAGGCATTTCTATATAAAGGGTTGTTGGGGAGGGATGGGGGGCAGCTAAGGGAGTTAGGTTGCATCATGAAAAAAAAAACAAAAAACAAAATATAACAAAAATAAAAACAAATCAATATGAGAAATTAGACACAACAAAACAAAAATCAGAAGATGATTCTGCAACCTTTTGTTTTGTAATAACATTTATAATGATATTAAGAAGTTCTACATATTTGTTGGCAAACTCTTCTCCACACATGCAACAGTTTGCACAAGTTTAATACTGCAAGCATCAAGAGGAGCCGGGCTAAATGGCCTCCTGCTCAAAAGGGATGGGATTATGCAAATCATCCGAACCCTGAGGCAATGCATGCTGGGTGACTGATAACCACTGGGCACTGCCAGCACCAGATTAGTTTCCTTGTACGAACAGAATAGACAGTTGCACCACACAAAGCCCTCTCGCTTTTACAAGTGGTAAGACTGTGTGTAAATGTATGTATGCCATGCATGTGTGATCATATACTTCAGAGAGGTGTATGACTGTCATTTTCAGTGCTGCTAGTCAGTGCAGTCTCTATTTTTATGGAGTTTCTATGTTACGGTACCTCACAGCAAACAACTGTGACACCAGACCACCTGGCCTCGAAGCCACGACATCCGCACTGGATTATGTGCCGCTCTAACGCTCTAACGCTCTAACGCTCTAACCCTTTTCTTTGTTCGCTTTTACATGTGCATGTGTGGATGGATGACTGTATCCTGGCAGAGAAATTGCTACACCAAACCAACAACAACTTTAACTCAACCCAAACCACACCCAGCCCAGTCCAGGTAACCCAGCCAAGCTCAACTCAAGATAGCTTTGCCAAGTCAAACGGTCCAGCTCTCTTTGTATCCCTCTGTTTCTCTTATTTTTGTCGTTCTGTGCCTCTCTTCTGCCATTCTTAGCCAGGCTGGACCCCACTGTCCTCACTGCCTCCACGAAGTAAAGATTGTAGATGGTGGCTAGGCTGTCAGAGGCCTCACAGATGGATGGGGAATTCACACTGGGTAAATTGGGTTGGAGGGATGCCTCACTCTGAATGCAACACCTTTGAAATCTCTGGACCCCTTGGAACAATGTTGCAGATACAATGGTTTTGTTGCCGTTGTTGTCACTTCTACATTGTTGCTCATGATGTTTTTTCTCTGTGTTACTGTAGGTCACACACCCTTGGAAGGGGAGGAAATGTCCTATTTTACAAACATTGTTGTCCATAATATATAGATAGAGGTTTTATATATATTCTTTATAATCTCTCTCTTTCTTTCTTTCCCTCCCTCGCTTTCCACCAGTCCTCTCTCTTCCTTACTTCCTTCCTTTCTTGCTTCCTTCCTTTCTATCTTCTGCTCAGTGGCAGCGGCAGAAAATGTGAGTGAATGGTGCTACATGCAGCCCACGCAGCCACACTTGATGGTCTTTTCCACCTCCTCGCTGAAGGAGGTTCCATCGCTGCACTCAAAGGTGTATTTCCGGCGCTTCATTCGCTGGCTGGCGCAGCAGGCCCCCGTGTCGCAAGCTCCGGTACACTCCACCCAAGAGACGACACGTGTTGTCTGGCAGATGGCGTAGCCTCGCTGTACCTGGTAGAAGTCTCGCACAGGCTCCCCTCGGCACTCAGACTCTGGAAACAAGAAAACACCAACAGACATGAGCAATTACTTCATATTACCCTTTGTTTATTTAGGATTAAAGAATGACGTAGAGCACACCAACCTGTGTCACAAAGTTCCCCGGTGTAGCCACTTTCACAGTGACAGTAGGCATCTCCTGTGTCTGAGATCTGGCAGCGACCATGTTTGCAGGACAAGCGACGGCAGGGGTTGAACAGCTCCCCTTGCTGGTTACAAAGGGCACCGCGGTAACCCTCCACACACTCGCAGCGGTAAGACTGAGCGTCCAGTGGGATGCACTTTCCATGGACGCACCTAGTAAGAGATAAAAAAACCTCAATCAAATTCCCTGCTCAAAAAATAAAATAAATGAATCAGGAGCAGTATCTTGGATTTGCAACACTGAAAAAGGTTCCCAATTAAAACAAAAAAATACAAAATAAGTAAATTTACTAGGGCTGGACAATTAACCAAACAAATTTAGAAGTGTGACATTTAGAAGCTCTCACCGGCTTTTTCTCACTCATGTTGGTTTATTTAGTTATTACTTTGCCCAATGTGTGCATTCCACTTTAAATAATTCAGTCACGTGCCTCTGCCCTGTCCAACTAATTATAGTCTGCGTTCACTCAAAGCAAAGCTAGCACTCTAGATGAGTTGATACAAGTACTTCTTCCATTGTATGGCAGGACAATGGGCAGTAAGATCTTTGCTGTGCAATATAAATTCTATCCCATTTGCTAACATACTTGCTGCCCTGGCAGGGGTTGGTAGCAGGCTGGTCACAGTGCGGCCCGCTCCAGCCTGGCTGGCAGTGGCACACTGGTCCCTGGACCCCATCAGGCTGGCAGATGCCATGTACACAGTAGATCTTCTTGCAGGGCTCGCAGCCCGGTACCACGCCAGGCTTCATCTGGGTCTTGGTGAAGTCCTGGAGTTCGTTGTTGATGTACAGGTTCTGAATACAGCCATGGAAACTGGAACCGTTCTGGAGCTGCCAAAGACGGAAAGCACCCGAGTGTACGTCCACTGGCATGCCTGGAGGAGGAGAGAGAAAACAGATGATGTTTATACGTGTGAGGACGTGGATACTGGACCACAAACAGACAGCTAACACAGGGCTGGTATGAGTGTAATGGAGGAAGGAATTTTCAAACACATGTGTCCCAACAGTGCATATACAGTTTGTCAAATTAACATAAGCAGCTCTTTTTCATATTGACATTGATATTTTGCATTTGCACCACAAGACACATCATCCTTGAAAGAGAGGACAGCAAAAGGCAGAGAGGTATGGGGGAAATGTCTCCTGTAGTGGTGTATGAACTAGGAACAGTACAGCACAACAAAGCACATCACAGCACTGACACAAACTGTAGAAACTCTGAGCCACTCCTGAGCAAACTGTCATGTCAGCCCTGACACTGCGGCTGCAGCACAACAAATGAAAATGTTTATGTCATGAATCAGCTAAATTTTAGAACTTTGAATTTTGTCAAGAGTGGCTAAATACATTACAAATAAATACAGTTGCATTTTGTGCAAGCAAAGTCCATGCAAATACAAAACAAATCTAAAGACTGTGTCTGGTAGTTCTTCAGGGTAATCACTAGAGGGCGTACTTTGCACACTATAAAAAATGTGCTGTAACAAACATAGGGCTATTGAATGATAAAGTGGTGCGTTGTATTTTCACTATAGGTTATGATTTGTAATTTTTGAGAGTTATGTTTTATCCGTTGCGGTGAAATAGCTTACTTGTTCATTACAAATGTGTGCATAAGGTGTAGTGGGAGGTCCATGCTCATTTTTGTATTGTTTCAATGCGTGGCCCCTAGCAAACACAGTCATGACTGAAGGTGAGTGGTGCGGGTGCAGGATAGGGTTTGGGTGGAGGTAGGACGGGGTTGCATGGTTAAGGGGAGGGGTTGGTTGCGGTGGTGACAAAGCGAGGGGGGAGGGGGGGGTGATTGACAGTAGTGTAGTAGATAAGAGTGCCTGCAGAGGAGGGAGGTGTGTTCTGGAGAGGGCCCCTACCCCCCACGTATAGCGGAGCCTCCCCGTTGAGGGGCCGCACCGCCCCAAAGCTGTCCATTGTGGTAGGGAGACCCCCGTCAATGGACAGGTTAACCATCTGATCAAAGGTCACCAGCTCCACTGTGTGGAACTGGCCATCGTTGATGGTCTCAGTACTGGAAAAAGAAAAACAAAGATATGACATGAGATAGAGTCACTATAGTCTGGAATCAGTAGTGACAGTAAAGTTGAGCCTTTTGAAGACCCCTTACCTGTAGATGGCATGGCCTGGCTGGCTGCCGGGGTCATAGCTGACCTTGACATGACCTTGGTAGAGCTCCACTGCAATATGATCATTGTCTCCATTGTACAGCAAAATTCCATTATCCTCAGCTGTTGACACCTGCAGAGAGAAAATATTTACTCAGTCTTTAAAAAGGCAGAGTCAACACATAAAAATCATTGTTTACACATTAACTCTGTGATTACCTGCAGGGTGATGTTAGCTTGAGGCCAGTTCTTGAGGTCAGAGAGCAGTAAGTAGGAGTCTCTGTCAATGAAGTTGACACTGACGAGCTTCTCGCAGCGTGGCCCCCCAAACTCTGGAGGACACTGGCAGAGGGCCCGTCCGCCTCGCTCCACACATGGGGCATTGTTCTGGCAGTCAGCCAGCTCACACAGGGACAGTAGAGATGGGGGAACCTCACACAGCTGACCACTGTAACAGGAAAGACAGGGATTATTTTTGGGAAGATGATGTTAGTAAAGCAGAGTAGCCAAAAGTAAGTAAAGCCAGTGTGTGTTAAATCTGTGCTCTCTTCACCTGTATTCTTCAGGACAAACGCAGGAGTATCCATTTAGCTCATCCACACACTGAGCTCCATTCTGACAGCGATGCTCCTCACAGTCATTATAGTCTACACTGCAGTCATCACCAACATAACCAGGAGAGCACACACACCTGCAATACACAAACACAATACTGGAATCAAGCTGAGCACAGACAAAGCTACAGTACCTCCAAATCTGTATAGAACATCTATTTTTCAATATATAGCATTGTTATTTTTCATTGAATCTGATAAACCGGCAGCAAAGTCTTACTTGGGTCCAGCGGAGGTGATGAGGCAGGTAGACTGATGTTGGCAGGGGCTCCGTCCTGGGGCACACACATCCTCCATTTCTTCACACATGTCCCCTACACAGAAGAATTTAAAAACTGTTACACAACACAGAGCAAAAACCATCCTGCAAAACCAGCGAAACAAGAAAGCCATTTTGTATTTATATAACAGCATGATTATTATTATTATTTTTTTATCCAAGATCTTGTCAAGTCGGAAAAGTAGATTGCATAAAATGGATTGAGACAAAACTAGATGCATATTTCAAAATTTTCGCAAAAGAAAAAAAAAAATCACGACAAATATTGTCACTCGTAAAGAAGCTGGATAATTTGTCTTATCAGTTCCTAAATTGTGTTGAGTAGCACTAACCTGTGTAGTAGGGGGGACAAAAACAAGTGTAGTTGTTGACTCCATCGATGCAGGTTGCTCCATTCTCACAGTCGTTGTCTTCGCAGTCGTCAATGTTGCTTTGGCAAGTGGGGCCCTCAAAGCCCAGTGGACATGTGCAACTGTGAAAACACACTCTCATTACGTGACCACATCAAATTATTTATGAGGCAAATAAGATTTCAGTCCTTCATTGCACTAATTTCAAAGCTAGTCTTCCTCACCTGTATTCTCCCTCCTCTCTCTCATTCACTTGGCAGGTTCCTCCGTTAGCACATGGGTTATTCACACAGGCGTTCAGAGCTGTCTCACAGTTCTTGCCCTGAGATAGAGAACAGGGTTAATGTTCATTTTTTGTTTTAAATGATGCATATTTCAAGATCTGCATTACACTGAAGTACACTTAAGTGGATATTCAGAAAGAGGTGGTAGCATTGTGGAGCTCTGACCTTGAATCCTGGAGGACAGCTGCACCTGTAGATCTCCACCAAGTCGCTGTGACAGATGCCTTGGTTCAGACAGGGACTGGACAGACAGGGGTTACACTTGGCCAGCACTGCAGTGTCCACATCTCCTAGGGAAATGTCAAACCGATAAGAATCAATTGTGAATACTAGTGTTACTGGGGGGGTTATATTCCGTGTACGACACAATAACTCACCTGTACATTCAAACTTCTTTGCAGGTGTGGTGAGCAGCAGTTTTCCCTCCATGCCCTGTGGGCCAGCACAGCGGGCGATTCCAGGCTCTTTGTAGCCTGTCTTCACCCAGTCAGATAACCAGCGCAGGCGACAGTCACAGTACAATGGGTTGGCACCAATCGCCCTGATAGAGCAGAGAAAATAAACTTATCAATGATACTTTTTAACAATATATAGTCAAATTCTGGTTATGCCACTGTAGTACACCCTTTCACCAGCAGGTGTCTCTACACCCTTGCGTAAAACAAACCATGGCAAACTCAACTTGGTGAACTATAAAACTAAAACACTGCGTCTCTAAGAATAAAACAGATTTAAAGTTTAATGCTCAATGCCATTTTGTGCCATACATCATCTGCAGGAGAGCCTCTCAATTATAGGCAAAGGTGTGAACAGAAGGTACTCTTAACCTCCTCTGTCATGGTGGTCGTGAATCAATGGCGCTCTGTCCTCCTGCTGGATGCACAAACACTCCTGAATCGATGCCGTTCCATTACGGTGGAGCACAGGCTCATCTTTCAGGCCAGCCCAATAGCTGACACCTGACATCTGCTAACATGAAAGCCACTTGACTGTGACTGTGGATCAATGGCTCCCCCTCCATCCTTTCCTCCACCCTCTTTTCATGCAGCCTTGACTCCTGTCCTGCTCTACATAAAATGTCTTTGTTTAGTTCTCTCATCCTCCCCTGCTTCCTCCCTGACTCTGACACCAATAGGTCTATTGATTAGTGACTGTCAAGGGATGATGTGAATATCTAGGCTGGATGGCAGAGGGCACACGGCAAAGATACTTGTGTGTAGGTTTACACATGACCACAAGTCCACACACCCGACGAACACACACAAAATTACAGACATAAATAAACAAACCAAAACAAATACTGAAGTCCACAGACCATGGAGAATGTGCGTGTGTGTTAGTGGACGTGCATGCATGTTTCAGAGATGTCACAGGGAGATGAGACAGTAGAGGGGTCTGTGTGTTGCTTTAACCACAGGACTGTGGCTGATTAAGGGAGGGCTCGGCTCATGTGGAGCCCACCAAAGAGGACTACAGACAGGCCACTGTGAGCCACACTCTCCGGCTGTCTGACCAGACCCCCTCTGTGCCTGAAAGTGTGTGTGTGTGTGTGTGTGTGTGTGTGTTTAGACTTCCCAAACTCAGTGCAGACGGTATCACATAGGCTGCCACTTGGGCATACAGTTGTGTGTGTTTGTGTGTGTGTGTGTGTGTGTGTGTGTGTGTGTGTGTGTGTGTGTGTGTCAATACTTACAAGTGGGAGAGAGAGGCCACATCGTTGAAGATGCCATCAGGAAGCTCTGAGACTTCGTTGCCATGGAGAGACCTTAGGAGTGATGGAAGAAGGAAACGACAAAAAAAGAGAAAAATTAACGACCACAAACATATTTCATTGTAAGAGAAAAACTTTATTGGTTAGTCAACTGACAGAAAATTAAATAGCAACTGTTTTCATAACCAGTAAATCAAGTGAGTCACATTTAAAGCAAAAAAGGCAAAACATTTGTTCATTCCAGCTTCTCGAGCGTGAGGATTTGCTCTTTTCTTACGACACAGTATTGAATATCTTTGGGTTTTGAATCAAAATGAACAATTTGAAAATGTTACCTTGGGAAACTGATCAGCATTTTTTCATTTTTCCAACATTTTACCACTTAAACAGTGAATCAGAAAAATAACTGGCACATTAATCTATCATGAAAATAAATGATAGCTGCAGTCCAACATGCTGCAGCTAGTTTTCGGACAACTAAAACCAAGAATAACAGGGAAAGTGTAGAGGAGTATTTCAGTGTTGTGTTGGCATTCTAAATGGGTGGTAGGTGGTTTGTATTTCTGGTTGAGCCTTGTGCAGCTGGCAAAGATGTGAGGCTCTGTAAGTCTGGAAAAGACTGGTGTCAAGTTTCTATGTGTGTCTGGCTGGCAGGGCCAACGAGGATACAGTGGGAGGGGGGTAACATAGTTGCACCACTTGCAGGGCAGAGAAAAATATTTGTGTAATGTTGTGTGTGTGCAGACGAACAGGTATATTTACGTGCTTGCATATGCACATAGGCGAGTTTATAAATGTTTGTGTGCATATATAGTGATACTGCTATTTCCCTTATTGTTCTCTGCCTTCTGTCTAGGGTGACAAGCCAACATGGCTTAATGGCTTGATGACTGATGGCTGCTGTAATCCACCAGGTCATTACCACCTCTAACCCTCAGCTGACCACATGCTAATGTTACCACAACTCAGTCCACAGTGCTGGTACATGACACATCTGCTCTCTATGCCTGGATGAAGAGAACTGATGTGTAAACAGACTTTGAAACCCCACTTCCTTCTCTGTTTGATCTGTGAATTCCCACCAAGCTGTGAAAGAGTCAGGGTTTGAAAGGATACAAAGCGTGAAGCTGGTCAGTGTTGAGGATGCAGAGCTGTGCTCGTGTACGAAAGTGAAAATATACAATGTAACCGTCTGAGACAACAAGTTAATTGGTCAGTACAGGGGAGAATGCTTATTAGTATAGAGTGAGTAGCTGGGTTTGTGGTAGTCGGAGAACAGTGAGGATACTGAGGGCATGAAGCCAGCAGCAGTGTGCCAGCCCGGCAGAAATCTCATGGGAGAAAGGAGCCAGGGAGTCTCCAGGAAGAAACCTGATCCACTCTCCTACTAACCTTCTCTCTAGTCCGTCTCTCTGTGACTTTTTACTTTTCTTTTCTCCAGCTGTAAATCGTTACATCACTCCATCTTTCCTATGTCAACTTATCTCTGGCTTGGCACAATTCTCAGAGTGGAATTGCATTTGATGTTTCTGGACAGGCAGAAATGATGCTTTATAACTGAAAATATGTTCTGCAGAGTGCACAGGCCATCCAACTGAACTTGTTCACAGTTTTTACACAGACGTGGTCACCTGCAACTGCTTAATAATGTTTTTTTGATTCTGTGAGTCCTCTGAGCTGCATGTTTCTGCTTTAGCTCTTGTGTTGAGGATCATGTGATTTGGCATTTTCTCACAGCACTGTGTCCAACAGCAGTTTGAGAATATGTCTCTTTTGATTTTGTTTGTCGCAGGCTTTGCTTTCTTTTTTTTAATCACACTCTTTCATATCACTTTCTTTCTCACAGCCTTCCACTCAAACCCTGGCGGGCCACGCCCTAGCGCTGTCTCAGCTCACTTACCTCACACTTAATACCCAGCAGGCCAATTAGCAGCTTATTAATCTACAGCTCAAACCACAACCACCACACACACACACACACACACACACACACACACACACACACACACACACACACACACACACACACACACACACACACACTTGCACCAAACCACACCACATCCATGCCAGGCTCAGACCCATGGTCTGTTTGAAGCCCTGAGCGTTAATGATTCTTCTCCTCTTTACTGCTCTGTAAAGCCAAAGGTGCAGCTTTATAAAGGCTTTGGCACCTCAGTGTGTGTGAATGCGCATGAGTGTTCCCCCACTTGTTGCCGGCTGTGGCATCTCTCTGTGGTTTCTATGAAGCTTCCAACTTTGAACTTTGAACCCAATGTGGAGTCTTAAAGTTGAAACTATTAAAAGGAGCTCATTGTCGCTTCAGTTTTGTCGCACCCCCACCACCTTACGTAGTAAAAAAAAAATTTAAAAAGCCATGGCACCAATTGACATTTAATGGGAGACGTATGATTGATCACACCAGCAGTAAAGACATCAAAGTTTTCTGCTTCATTTGGACTGCTGTCTGATTGAGACAATAAGGTAGTCCAGACATTCTGTGTGTGTACGTATATATATATATATATATATGTGTGTGTGTGTGTGTGTGTGTATGTGTGTATCTGAGCTTGTAGCTTGCAGCCTGTATGGTGTGTGTGTGGTGTCTGGGGGAGGGCCTCACATGGCGTCTAGCTCACTTGCACAGGGAATATTTTAGAAGTAAAGGTGGCGTGAGTGAGTAAGAGCAGAAATAACGGACACAGCTTCATTAGAGATCAAAGCAATGCGCCCGGGCTAGCGAGGCGGCATCAGCTAATGATGACCGAGCTTCACTCTCATTCCAAGCTAAAAGGGCCCTTACGCTTTGTGTCTCGTAATGATCGGGCGCTTTAGTTGAATCCCGCCGTAAAAAGAGGCTTTGTTGAAGCTTTGTTGTCAGTAGTAAAAAGTGTGCCTGCTATGAGCACACATGGAGGGCCGATACGTCTACTCCCACACACATACTAACCGGCACCAAGCCAGTAAATGACAAACATGTAGGCTATGAATACAGGCACCAGTGCACGAACACACACACACACACACACACACACACACACACACACACACACCACACACACACACACACACACACACACACACACACACACACACACACACAGATGCATACATAATCTCATAAGGAGTGCTGCTGGGCCTGGTCTCTGTTTCTCCCTGGCAGAACTAAACTGTACATTTGAGTTAAAGTGTGAGGCATCCAGCTGCTGTATCTTTGGATGCAGGTCCAAAGATTGGTCTGGTTTCGTCATCTATCTGTCAAACGCATTTATATTCTACATCTCAGTTATTTAGCAGACCAATTCATCCACGGGGAGCCCATGGTCACTGAGAGTGCACAATCAAAGACTTCATAACTTCATAAAAACCCGGAGGCAGAGTCAAAACCATTATGGTTAGCAGGGGCAAACTTTCTCCGGTAATCAGTGTCAGAGTGATTTTGTACAGTGGGTTGTGGGGGCGCATGTTTGGCCCTGATGGTGAAGCAGCGATGAGCTCGGGGTGTTCAGAGGTGAACAGGCAGACTGTGCAGATGTCTGAAGACAAGGTGTGGGCAGGAGTACAGTAGGAGCTGGAACAACACTGCTGCTGCCCCCATGGCTGCCATTTATACAGAGAAAATAGGTCGGAGGTTGTGTGTCTGTGTGTGTGTGTGTGTGTATATGTGTGTGTGAGAGAGAGAGAGAAAGAGAGAGAGAGAGAGAGAGACAGAGAGAGAGAGAGAGAGAGAGAGAGAGAGAGAGAGAGAGAGAGAGAGAGAGAGAGAGATAGTATGAATTCATAAGCTGTCATAACTGTTTAGACTATGTTTCAGTCCTCTGGAGTCAATCAAAGATTCTCAGCATCTGCTGCACTGTCTCTGTAGTCGGTGCGAGCTGCAAAAATATCCTCCTTAATAACTCATTTAGTCTCAAAGTGAGGCCTCGCTTGTTTTAGAACTCTTCTTTCAAAATAACTTCAATTGTTCCCAATGAAGTTGCTGTTTTGAGCGTTCTCTTGAAATTATGTGACAACAGAGAAACATTTCAAACATTTGATTTGCATGAGAAAAAAGAGAAACTCTCTCTCATACCACTGGCAAGATACATTATGTATTAAAAATAGGATTTTAATACTTAACCCTAGACCGACATATAAAGATGAGTACACGCACCCACCGACACACACAAACACACACACACACATACACACACACACATATGTACATATATATGCTTGCATTTAAAATATGAAATAAACTCACAGCAGTCGGAGAGAGTGCAGTCCACTGAAGGCCATTTTGGGGATACAACGCAGGGAGTTGTAGCTCAGGATTCTGCAATGTAAAAATAATTACATATGTATGTGTTATGTAAATTCAGCTGTTTCCATCCTACTGTCAGCACAAGAAGGAAATACTCGCTCTTTGGTCTGAGGAACCGAGGCTGGTCAGGACTTACAGGGTGGTGAGCTGGCTCATGTTAGCGAAGGACGAGTTGGTCAGAGAGTTGATCTTGTTGTTGCTCAGATCTCTGAAAGGAAAATATAAAAAGAAGAAAGCTCACTATGGTGCTCTGCACAGTGAGACAGAGGAAGAAGACGGATAAAAACTTACACCAGCTGTAGGTATTTGAAGGCTGACAGTTCCTTTGGCACAACACTGAACTGGTTTCCATCCAAATACCTGAACAAAGAGACAGAGACAGTAACGAGTTAGCAGGCATAAAATGATCCATTCAGATCATGATATGATGTGAATCCTGAAACAGTCTTCAAATACAATAATATTTTCACAATACTATATAACTGCAAGAACACTATGAACAGTAGACCTTATGATGACATTTTTGTCAGCAATGTATTTACCATCTGCTATAAATTCAAACTGCTGTAATGTCCATACATTCAACAACATTTCAAATATGAGAAACCTGTTGTTGCAGCACTCTTTACTTTCTAAACCACAGTCATCATACATGATACATGTTTTAATGCATTTTTTTTTTAAATCTATATTTCTCTATATTTTAATGCAACTACAGCTGCCAGAAAGCAGGTGCTTGTAGTGTAAGAATGTTAATGCAAACTGCAGCTGCTTCACAGTAAAAGGCTTACTCAGTCTTAGGGCTTTTACTGTGAAGGGGCTGCAGGATGTATTGAATTATTTGGTCAGACTTACTTTTATTGAGCAGTTACGTGCTATACGGGTTTTCACTTCAATTCAACCAGTATATAAAAGACAGATCGATAATCCCACCCTGTCACCCACCAAAATTAACTCTATATCTTCACATGCTCACTCTTGTTTGCATTATATTAAATGTTATGTAGGTGTAAAATGTACATTGTCTTCTAATTTCAAGCTGGAAGATACTTCTTTATTCTGCTCTTTGTCAGCAGATTAGTTTTACTCTGTGATCTGGCTAGGTGAAGACCTGGAGGCGGTTATTTCAGGTCACAGTCACACTTTTCAGACAGAACACTTTTTCCTATGCAGTTGCAGCGTATTTAATCTCAATTGTTACATTTACTAGCCAAATGTTTTGTCCTTCAATTACTTTTTTCTTTATCTTGACGCCACAGTGTCTCAAGCTTAGAGGTCAAGGTTAGTATGAAAGCTATATAAACATTTCTATTCCACACACATACTTAGTTATACATCTCTTTTACTGGGGCTGAATAATTGGGTCAAGACACCTTATTACATTCAGTGACATTTTTGTTTATTTCCTGTTTTGCAGCAATTCCTAAATGTGACCTGGCACCCCAATTTTTGAAGTGACTGAGATATAGATTGAACACTTGTGGATGCATTCATGCATGTGTGTGTTAACACACTGATGTATGTGACATCATGCCAGCAGGGTTGCAACCACTGTGCTGACTGCCAACACAAAGTGCTACCAGAGGGCTGTCACCTTGATAAATGACCGATTTAGGGCCTGCTTCCCCTGAGCAGAGCTAAAGGGGCTTTCTCCCACTATTGTTGTTGACTGCACTCAGGGCGGGGAGGGCAGGGGGGGTTGCTGGTAATCAAGGGGGGGGGCCTTTGGGTTCAGAGGTAATGATAGGTAATGACGGTGTAGAGGACACTTTGGATAATGATGGAGTAGAAAACTCTCCAGATGACTAGATGAAAGCCCAGAACAGAGGGGCACACCTGGTCACACCTGCTGGGACAATGACAGGCCTTAAGGCTTGCACAGCGTGTGTGTGTGCAATTGTGTGTGTGTGAGTTAGTCTGAACCACTTGAAGTAGTATTGGAAAGTTCCAGACCTATTCCATTCCCTCCCCTTTCCATTGAAAACTGCTCATTAAAATGTCCTCTCGCTCCCCTATACTCCCGTGGACAGGCTTTTGGCCGTCACACAAATATGTGTGCGCGCACACACGGACACAAACACACACACACACACACACACACACACAAACACACACAAACACACGCACGCACGCACGCACGCACGCACACACACACACACACACACACACACACACACACACACTCTGATCCTTGGCTCTGAGTGTGAGAGTGACATCAGTGCTAGCCCTGAGGGCTGCAGGGAACACAGAAGAAGAATGTCTGAGAGAATAACTGCAGGGTTTATTGACTCCTTTCCTCTTCTCCAAATGATGAGATCTGTCTTTTTGCCTTCACTGTTTTCACTAACTCTTATCTCCTTCATACATCCTAAGCTCCTCTCTACCTTTTTATTGTCTCCTTTAGTTTCCTGGTTTCCCTTCCAGACCTGCCTCCATCAAAGCCAGACAGACGAACAATAATAATACCGGGAACTCAAACCGATCAGATATAAATGCAATTAGCATAATTAATGCCAAGGAACTCACAGTTCAGTCACGTTTCTGGGGATGCCTTTGGGCAGTGTGTGGAGGTGCTTGTTACTGCAGCGCACTACAGTCTCCAGGCAAGTACATTCACTGGGACACTGGGGTCTGGGCACACAGCTTGACTCCTCTTGGCCTGGGAAAAAAAGGAGGAGAAAGAGTCAGATATACCAGAGAGGAGGAGAACAGAGGAATAATAAGGAGGGTAGGAAAGCGTCGGAGAACAACCAAAAGAAGAGCTGGTGTCCCTGGCAAAGAAATAAATAAAAAATATAGAAAGACAGAACAAACCTAAAGGCAAGACAGTGCACAAACAGCACAATCCTTCAAGATGATGGTGAGGCATTGAGACAATGAAATAAGAGGAAGTGAAAAATGTGAAAAGTAAAATAGGACAGAGAGAGAAGAGCCTCACTAATGTAATATCGACCAGCAAGAGCAAAGAATGGAAGCCGCCCGAGGCCTGAAGACAAGTCTAACATTCATTCAGGTGCAAATAGGCTGACTGGTCAATAAGGCAAACAGCTCAATAGCTCCACTCAGCCCAGCATCGACCAGAAGCTCAGGAACTGCTGAGCAGCAATCTATTCAGTACACAAAAGAGTCGCACAATAGCAGTCATTATTTAAGACCATCTCAGACACTTTAAGCAGCTCTTGTTCATAACATATCATGGAGCGCGGTGCAGTGTGAAAATCCTCATCAGTCAGAACCCGACAGTTTAGTTTCACACATAGTGAGGTCATCTACTATAATGAAGATGTTTATCTCCTTTCAAAGAGACAGATTACTTCTTTTCAAGTGGAAAAGCTGCAACAAAACTTCAAACAGTATAAATAAGGACATACAGAGAGAAAAGTGGACTCAAATCACGATGGGGTAGTTGTATGTCTTGGTAACACCTACCCTCCTCACAGCGGAAGTCAGGCAGAGCCACGTCCTGTAGCGGGATCTCCTTGAGGAAGGCGGGACGCTGGCAGCGAGGGTTACCTGTCACAATCTTCCTGCTCCTCAGCCAATCACCGAGCCACGCCAGCCGGCAGTCACAGTTGAAGGAGTTGGCCAAGAGGTTACTGGGAGAAAGTGACAGACTGTCAGAAGACTGAAATTTGAAATGCACAATTAAAGGTGAGCGCGCATGTGTGTGTGTGTGTGCGTCTGTGTGTCCGGGTCTCACAGGGTGGAGAGGGTCTGCAGGGTGTCGAAGGCTCCGGGAGTGATAGTGGTCAGCTGGTTGTCGTACAGAGACAGCAGACGGACGTTGTGCAGCCCTGTGAAACTGTCGTTATGGACACAGCTGATCTTGTTGTTCCTCAGCATCCTAAAGACAAAAGAAATGAAATCTGAGATATTATCTTGGCTTTTAGAAACGCCAACATGTCTGAGTGTGTGATTGTACGTGTCCGTGCATCACTCACAGCATCCGCAGTCCCTCAAGGCCACGGAACATCCCACTTCGTACCGAGTCGATCTGATTGGCTGTGAGATGAAGCTCATTGACAGACGATGCGCCTTCAAACGCCCCATCCTCAATCTCTGTGATCTTATTGTTGCTGAGGTTACTGCGGGAAATAAAAGCATGTCAGAGAATTTAATTTAAACTATCAATATGATGACTTGTGGTAAAAAAAGTAAAATGAAAGTTTCATTTACATTTTCTTCAGCTGGGAAAGGTTCTTAAAAACTCCAGTTGCCTCCAGAGTGGTGATCTCATTGTTGTTGAGGCGGCTAGAGAGAAAAAGTTGAAAAAGTTGAACCTTACAAATGAATAAATCCATTCAAATTTATAGCGCTCTTTAAATATTCAGTGAGTTTTTGAATTTGCTTGGTTCACAATTTGTATTTCTTTTCATTCTGTCTCTGTTTACTCCATCTCTTCCTGTTAACAAAGAACAAAATACTTTTTTTTTTCTTGATTCCTTACAGTTCAGTGGTGGATGAAGGGATGTGCTCAGGGATCTTGGTGAGCTTCAGGTTGGAGCAGTCCACCACGTTTGACTCACAGCGGCACTTGGGTGGACACACTGGGTCACTGTTACAGGCATTACTCAGACGGGTGTCCTCTGTACCTGAACAGGAGAAAATGCCAACACGTACATTCTTATAACACGCAATGACATCAACTGCGTCCCTATAACAACACATGCGCCACACTTTCCCCTGATGCTCTCAGTCACGCATCTGCTCCCAGCACAGCTGTATGTCAGTGGTTTGTCCTGTTGTGACACGAGAAGCAGCTTCCCTAACTAATCTTTAAACTGAGGCGCCCTGAAGAACATCCTGCAGCTCTCCTACCATTCATTGGGGAGAGATACGTAGATGGGTGAGGGTGAGGGGATGGAAGGGTGGGTGGATGAGTTATTTTAGAGAAGTGATAGAGTGGGGAGCAGTGGGGTGAAAAGAACAGCAGCAGGGGAGATTGAGATAGGGATGCCAAAGAGGATTTGGACAGCCAGCTTCAGTGCAGCAGTACACCCGAGAAATAGAGAGAGAGAGAGAGAGAGAGAATGGTGGTTCAAACGATGCACAGGAAGAGTGTGTAGACAGGTGGAGTCAAAGGGCAGGAGAGGGAGGAAACAGAAAAAAGGAGGGCATGAGGGACATAAATGCATGCTGAAATGAAGAAGGGAGAAAGGAGGTAAAGAAGACAGATGAAAGAAAAATGGAAGGTGGGTGGCGGAGGCACAGAGAGACGTCTGTCCTGACAGAGGAAGAGCAAGAATGAGGCAGCAAGGGGGGAGTGTGGGACGTTTTCCTGCACCTCCTCTGTCTATGAATAGACGTTACGTGCCAAAAAGCGTGCTGCCAGTTACATCATGGCTGCTCAATAATGGAACAGCACTGGGATTCACTTAGAACATGTGTGTGTGTCTGCGAGTGTGTGCATTGTGTGTGTATTTGTTTGTGTATATATGTGTGCATATGTGCGTGTAGAGCTTATGTGTGTGTGCATATGTTCCATTTGGAGGGAACAGTTCTGCATTTTCTGTCAGGATATCATTTTGTGTCCTGTTCTTTTTTTTTTTTCTTCTTTTTTTTCATTTTTGCATGCTCACATCGGTGCACCTCTCTGCCTGAGGTTCGGAGATGACGTCAGCGGGACACTGTGGGGCACCCAGACCACAATCATGAGCAGGAAAACCTCAAACAACCAAGACAAAATCCTACGGCTGAGTATCAAAAATCTGTCCAAATAAATAGAACGGCATGTGAAACCATAACCTAACCCCAAACCCTCATCGCTGACTTTATTAGAATATGGTTGGACAGTGAAGGAGTGAATTTACGGAAAGGCTTCCTCTGGCTGACTGTGTGAAAAACTTTTCGTCTGAAACTGTGCCACCTCTCAGAGTGGCTCAGTGGAGCATGGAGAAAGACACAGTAATGCAGTTCATTAAGGAGTTGTCCTTCCCTACGCCAGACAACAGGACAAGGCATTTCCTGCACCAGCGGAAGCAATGAAAGTACAGCACAGCACTTTGATCTTGAGGATGTAGAGGAGCCAGGGGAGATTCGTGAGCCTGAGTCATCATCGTCGTCACAAATGCGTGGTGGCGACACTTTTACTGTCAGCAGATTTAAACGAAACCGGAGAAAACACAGAGGAGAGGATGAGGTTTCTCCCTCTCTGAGGCGCAAAATGACTCATCGCTGGAGTTGTAGAAGTTCTCATAATTCCCTGCAGCTTGGTTCCTCATTATCAGTGTATTATGGAATTCCCGTGCCGTCAGTGATTGTGTGTTTTCAGTGCGTGTATGTGTGTATTGTGGAGGCTTTTATTGTTATCATTCAGGGAGGGTGAAATTCTCATTAATCACATTTGGCTTTGATCTTTCCTCTGCTTACATAGTACTCCCATTTGTTCTCTAAGCCAGTGTAGAGCTTTATCTCAGCTTAGCACACAAAGGCACATTAATTCACACACACGCACGTACGTACGCATACACACAGACATAGATGTGAATCGCACGAGCGTCTCCACACACACACACACACACACACAGACACAGACACAGACACAGACACGCACGCACACATACACACACACACAGACAGACAGACAGATAGACAGAGTTCGACACACATCACTGCTCCTCCTAGTTATTTTCTTGGAAGTGCTCTTGTTAAGAGGTCCGGAAACGTCCGCTGATAGGAATCTGGGTCCTCTGGTGGGCTTTATTTTCTTTAGCTTTTACTGATAGAAAGGACACACTTTCCTTCCCCTCTGTCCTTCCCTCCCCCTCCCTCCTTTTCTGCCCCTCTTGGTGAGTGACTGTCTGTGCTCATGCCAAAGCAAAGAGCCATGTCCTTTTGACTCTATTTGCTGAGACTATAAGGAAAACAGAGCTCAGGAGAAACAGAAGCTCTCACACGTATATCACATTAAAATGCACACATAGGTTCAGTCGCTCATGGGCACAATTAGCATAAATACCACCAGTGCGCAAATTTCAACTCATTTTACTCTTAAATGTCTATAATGTTTTTTTTTCTTTCTGTGCAGACCATTTCCTCTGAAGTTCATCCTACCATCACCCACATTAAAAGATGATTGCAGTTTATTACAGCTCAGGTCTTAAGTCCGTCATTGTACAGAAAGACTTTGCACAAAGTATGGTGGGTCAAAGTTGAACTAGGACGCCGGTTTGTAACCTGTGATGGATGTAAACAAGAAGCAGTTTGGACAATAATTTTGCCATTGTCTTTTGTGTTCACTTCCACTTAACTTCGGCCAACCTGTGGGTTTGTCTAAAACCTGTATGCTTGTCTTTCTTTCCCCACGCTCCCAGCTCTCATCAATTAACTAGGTAAATAACAACATATGACCCAAGTTGTAATAAACTGCAATTATCCTTTAACCTGTGGAGGAGTTGTATTTAAATGAAGAGTAAGGTAATGGAAAACATGATGCCGCTACATGGCTGCAGGTGGATAATTAAAGAAAAGATGGAGGCAATGATAGGTGTGAACATTTACAAGCAACTCACCTGGGATGAAGTACTGCTCTTTGGCTGTGATGGAGAAAAGAAAGAGGGACGGATGTCAGTGAGACCAGCCTGGTCTGCATAGCTGCGGTGTCGCTATGCTTCAGAACAGTCATATATAGAGCTTATATATGACAACACATGACTCAACGTACATGACAGTTAACCGGAGAAGCATAGGGCTGTCTCTGTACATGGCAATGCAGAGAAACCGGTAACGATGTTAAAAGGTGGTAAATATTTGGCTGTTGCTAAGGAAGAGTGACATGAGGGAAAGAGGGAGACAGTGAGAAAGAAAGAAAAAAGAAAGAAGGAAAAAGACAAAAAAGGGGGAAAAAAAGAGGAAAAAACACATGGACTGCCTTCTTCACCAGGTCTAGCCAAACAAATGAGGCTATAAAGAAGTGTGAAACCTCAGCAGTGCAGAGTGCCAGACAGCGTAGCACAGTGCATAAACATTACAGTGGGCAGGGGAGTAGGGATGGTGAGGCCTGGCTAGGCAGGACAGAGGAGTGAGGGGATGAGGGGTCGTGAGGGAAACTTGAGCCTGACAGACAGAAAGCGATGATCGGGCGAGGGGAGATGGAGGCTGTGACGGACAGGAGCCTGAGATTGGTAGAGGGCAGAGGAATGGTGGGCATGTACAGAAACTCTAGCCCTTACACCAGCCTCGACTGGTGATCTCAGCTCACTGCGGTTTGAATGTGAAATCAGACTCACAATGTGGTAACACGGAGGGGAAATGGAGAAACAGCGAACGATCCCTCCCTCCTTGGCCCCAAGTTTGTCTGGGGAGATATTGATTGAGGAGCACCGGCACAGCAAATGATAGGCCGAATAAAACCTTTTGCCAGGAATGATCACTCATTAAATGTGGTATGAGGTAGAGGGAACAATAAAAGCCACTCCCAGTGGAGAGAAAGAGAGAAGGTAAGAGAAGAGCGGTGAGAGACAAGTGGAATAAAAACAACAAAGCCTGTCTGAGAGGTAGACAGTCCGAGAGAGAAGTGAGAGGGAGACATCTGGAGACAGTGTAGACTGAGCCACCGGCCTACCGGAGCAGCGGAATTTCTTGCTCTTGATCTGTCCGATACGTTTGTTTGCGAGTCTGCGAGGGCTGGCACAGCGGGCGCCGCTGGTCTCAATGGGGTTGGAGCGTAGGTAATCTGCCAGCCACTTCAGATTACAGTCACAAATAAATGGGTTCTGGGCCAGGTGACTGGAGAGGAGAGAGGGGTGAGGGTGGGGGGGGTGGGGGTGGATTGGAGAAAAGGGGGAAAAAAGTAAGGGAGGTGGACAGAAGAAGAAAGGGAAGGAAGAATGAGAGAGGGAAAAGGAACACACATGAAAACTGATGGGATAAAGGTCAAGAAGGGAAAATTACAAGTTCTATGTTTATATTTAGACATCAGGGCCACAGACTTAATACACTCTCACCTGGAACCACAGAAACATAAGGCAAGGTCTCTGTAGGTGTACACCAGCAGTGTGAAATTCAGTGCAGAGCTGGGTGATAATTCAATATCATTCTTTATTGATTTTAAGTTCAACCATATCACAGTGATATGAGCTTATCATGTTAAAGGAAAAGTTTGACAAATATTCTTGTTTGCTTGAAAGTTAGATGAGCAGCTCCATATCACTCACCAAATTTAGCTACTTTACACATATTTAGAGTTTGGGATGATGTAATTCATAACAGTAAAACACAGTAATCTGCTAAATCTGATTATTTCGTATGGAATTCTGCACACATTTCATATAGTTTGATTCCCTCAGTCAACTTTATGGTAATCATTGAGGCTATAGTTGAGCTGCTGGTGAGTTATTTTGTGTTATATATAAAGATACGATGTCTGATATTTGGTCTATAAATGGGGTTGACAAAACATTAGAAACACCTCTCATTAATGCAACAAAATCTAATATAATACAGCATCCAGAATGACCATAAAAATAGAATCAACATCTCTAAAACATTATAACTTCAACTGGGTGTATAGACATAGATGTAGACATTGTAATATATTCTTATTGATATTGACATTTTGAATTTAAACTGTATCCACCCCAAACCTACTTCACTTTAAAGAGTGTGTCCTGCCATCCAAATGATGCAGTCACTTTGTCGACTGAGACTGTGGGAAGGCTCAGCATGTATTTTTACCCCGTCTTCACAATGCAGGCAAAACAAGAAGCCTCTTTTACACTGAGACCCTTAAACCCAGTGCCCTCTATATGTGAGTGCATGCGTGGTGTGAGCCAAGGGGCAGCACTATCCATCATCTTCAACAGGTGTCCTGTATATCTTGTGTTGGCATATATAGATGGCAATGTTGAAAACTTTCAGTGTGTTTCAGACATGGTGGATGCCACAGTGTGGGGTCTCACATTGATAACAGCGTGTGGTTTGCTTTGTTTATTGGAACCAAATAAAAAAAAAGGAGGCATTCATTTAGACAGAATTGGTGCAGTCTGAGTAACAGTGGTGGAAAGAGTGGGTGCTGTTTTTGATCTTGATCCGGCCGCAGAAGCTGTGTGTGTCCGCGTGTTTGTGAAGATGATAGATTTACTCCCCTCTCTACCTCATGATTCCATTCCTGTGTTATTACACAGACCTGTGAGTAAACAACTCCTGTGTTGGCTCATGTTTTATGGTGACGGCTCAGTATGTGTCAGAGCGTGTACAGCAGCATGTTTGTGTGCGTCTGTGTGTGTGCGTTTGACTCACAGGGTCTGTATGGCTCGTAGTGAAGTGAAGGTGCCCTTGGCGAGGGTTTGGATCTTGTTGTCATAGAGTGATAGCAGCGAGAGATTCTGCAGGTCCTGGAAGGCATTGGCACGAACGCAGTGAATCTTATTGGCATTCAGCAACCTGAGAGAAGGGGAGAGAGGGGTGCGGGGGGTGGGGTGGGGGTGGGGGGGTGCAGCTTGTCAGAGTTTCTTTATGCATTCATTCATTATGCATTCCATCTAGAAAACTATGCACTGGTACAAAGTTTATTTGAAGGTTATGACTCCTTTACTGAGTGGGAGTAAAGGGTGCCTGGTATGTATGTTTGCAGCGGATCAGCAGAGTGTGTGTGTTCCACTTACAGCAGTTGCAGGGCGTAGAGGCCGTCAAACACCCCCTTGGGCAGGTCGGTGATCTTATTTCCATACAGGACGCTGGGAAATCACAACACAGACTTGCTTTAGACACATGGGAAATGACAACCGGGTGGATATTTATGCACAAACTTGGCTCGAGGCAACTTACAGAGAGTTGAGGGAGCGCAGGCCCTGGAAGGCATCAGGAGCTATCTCTGAGATCTGGTTGTTACTCAGGTCTCTGTGTTGAAGAAGAAGGTCGGGGTATGAGTTAAGGAAATGGAGATTTTGGGAAAGAGTCAAAATCTTTTTCCTGTGGGAGGTCTGACTCCCTGTCAGCTGGGTGTCACCCTCATAGGAAGGTGGGGTGGATGTAAGGCCCCTGCTTGTCACTGGTGTGTGAGGGGAAAGCAAATGTAGTGTGGGCTGGACGAAGATGAGTTCCAGCTCTCTCTCATATCTAATGGTGCGTCCCTTCAAGGGATTTGATGAAACGGAGCGGGCGAGAGTCTCGCAGCCAATCAAAACATTTACTTGTATTATTTGTGGCCTATCAACCAGCCCTGCGTTTTATCATGGTGTGTGTGTGTTTGAGAGTAAAAATGGGGTGCAGGGCCAAAATCCAAAGCAAAATACAGTAGACTGCCTCTGAACATAGCTGTTGTTAATAGGATCCACAGGCCTCTACCCACAGGATAACCACTAAGCCTATGTGTCTATGTGTTTATGTGTGTGTGTGTGTGTGTGTGTGTGTGTGTCTGTGTGCGTGTGTGTGTGTGTGTCAGAGAGAGAGAGTGAGAGAGAGAGAGAGAGTAAATGCAACAGCAAATGAGGAACAGTGGAACAGAAAGAGAGAAAGACAGATGGAGAGAGAGAGTTAATGGAGTATGTGGACTGAACTCCAGTCGACTGGATACCTTTGAAGGAAAATCATCATGTGGTGAAGAAGAGGGATATTTTCTCATTTGGGGGTAACAGTTAAATAAGTACCCATTTGTCTTCTTGCAAAGGATTGAGGTTTCTTGGAAACAAGAACCTGGCGAAGGAGCCAACATCTGCACTGGTGTGTGTCTGTAAACTCAGGCACTGTGTGTGTGTTTGTGTATGCGTCGGTGTGTGAGGGCTGCTACTCCGTCCCCGTCTTAAGGAGCGGTTCATGTGTAGGTCATTCAAACCAGGACAAGGTGAAATAGAATATATGTGGTTGGCATTTACTAGGAGAAGAGGACACACAGGGTCAGGAAAGGCATTGCACACATGCCTGAGCACGCCACAAATAAACAAATACACAGACAGACACACACAAAAGCCTATATATAACATTTAGTTACCTAATGTGGCCTTATAATCATATATTGAACTATTTTCCATACACAGAAATCTACCACTAAATATAAAACGTCCATGTGAACATCTGAAGAGCCAGAGGAGTGACCATATTCATCATGATGTATTGATGCTGTCTACACACAGTGTGCACTGAGGGTGTGGGACACATAGGACAGGTCAGGCCAGTGGAGGCACGTAGCCAGCTGAATCAACAGAGGCGCCGAGGGTCAACACAGACATGCAGCCATGCACTGTTGTTGCTAAATGCAGGATGAGCAGCAGCAACAGTAGCAGGTCATGTCTGTCTGGACGACAGGATGGGAGGGAGCGACACATTCTCACTGCCATTAAGTCTGGTTTGTATATGTTTTATGAAAACCAAAAGAAAAAAAGGGAAAAAAGAAAAACAGTTTCTGGCTCAGTCTGTGTCTACATATACAGACAAAAAAGACTGTTATGAATTTCCGTTGAGATTAGGGGTCAGGAGCAAATACAATAAGACGACAGTTAGTGCAACTTCTGTCTATTTGTTTACTTGTTGAATTTTTCAAACTGCTATTAAATCTGGTTTGTAAATATTATGTATGAAAACCACAACTGTTTGATTGTCTTATATTCAATAATAATTAATGACTCTATGTTTGTAACAGTAACAGTACTGAAGAACTGCCATAAAACTTATTTTGATAAATTTTGACTCAGTTTTTGTTAAGATTAGATTAATATTTTGATATGAGTTTCATTTACTTTGATGTGAGACCAGTTTCATTTTTTTCACATACAAAAAAACAACATAATTTTGCACATATTTTTGTATAAATAAATAATCATTTTTTTTGTCCTGGGTCAGTGAAGCTACAATAAGATAGCAGTTGCTCCATTCCTGTTAACTTGAGGCTTACATAACAATGTGTATTTAGTTTAAGGGTTTCCTTTACTCTAACATAGAAATCTGACCTATTTGAGTTCACATGGTTTTCAACACGTAGTAACGAAAAAAAATTGCATTTAATTTTATAAGAATGAATATTAATTTCCCTTGAGAGCTCACTGGAGCTACAACGAGATAGCAGCTGCTTCAGTCTGTCGACTGCGTTCACCTCATTTGAACCTCAGACTGTCCCTGGAGCTGGATGATAGAACGGCGAGGAATCCTTTAAGAAGGGCAGAGAAACTCCCTGACCTTCCGTTTCCTCCGTCTCCTTGCTGCTATGTCGGTCAGGCCTGGTGGTGTTGGAGTTATGGGTTTGGCCGACTGGTGTGTGCTGGCTGGGTGACCAGACAGCTGGCTGAACGGGCAAAAAACCACTCCGTCTCAGCTACCAGCCCGTCGCTGTTCGCTCCCAGAGAGAGCGAAGCCTCAGCCCTCATTCCAGCACACTCTCTGTCCCCTCATCATCATCCCAGCCGCAGTTTACAATTTGCCAATGCAGGCACAACACACACAAACTGGACACAACACTAGCCAGGGGAATACCAGTGCACAGCAATGAAAGATGAGAGCTGTTATTATGCTCATGTAGCATCTGAGTGCTTGCTTTCCATGCCACCCCAAGTCTGAGAACAAGAATATGTTCTTTAGGCACAGACAAAATAAATACTTCATGCTCCTCAAAAGTGGGATGAGAAGACTGCCAATTGTCCCTTCTTTTTCCAGCCCTCAACTTCTTGTTCTCATCTGTATTATTTAGCCCTGAGGTGAGTGTACTGCTGTACTTACATCCTACGCAGTTTCTTGTAGGGAGAGAAGGCTCCGGGAGGAACAGACTTAATCCCATTCTGCTCCAGACGTCTGGAGAAAAGAGGAGAGGAGAGGAGAGGAGAGGAGAAGAGAGGAGAGGAGAGGAGAGGAGATACCATCAGTTAACCAAACAATAGACTTCTCCATGGCAACAGAGCTGAGTAATCCCCCCATCACCTCTGACCCTTGGTGATTGGCCTGATTATATTAGCGGAGATCTATTCCCCAGCTGTAATAGGTCCAGGCATGTTGGAGTCATAACATCCTCAGAACCAATAAACAATCTGAATACTAAAGTGCTGTGGAAAAAGACTGGAGGGGGAAAAGGCTCTGTCTCGGTTTGTAGGAGGGTGTTAAGGCCTTCGACTCAAAGTCATATTTCTTCTTGGTATAACATTTACAGTTTCCAGCACTTACGTTCTCATATGAGACCCTGAAATCAATAATGATCTCACTTGTTTGTTCTCACTTGTGAAATTTGTCTTTATCCTCTGGGTGTCTGCAAAGTGTCCACTGAAACCTTTGCAGCGCGGTGAAATATTACTTCTTTTAGTTTACTTTTTCCTGTGAGCCCAAGAGCTGCTGACGCAAAGTTAACAAGAAAAAGGTCTGACAAAATCTCGCCATAAAAAGCTGTCAAAGAACAAAATGAATATACAGACAAACATGCGCTTGGTCATTTAGTACAGAACAGTCACAAACTCTAATCAGTCTCAGATGGTCCCAGAGAAACAGACATCACTAAAGCCCATTAGTGTGGGCATGCATGTCTGTGTGTTTCAGGCCGGCTGCTACTTAGAACCCAGCTCAGTCCCAGAACAATTCCCTGGTGTAGCTGACAGAGGGCTGTTTATCTGCAGGTCAGTTCACAGCTTTTAAAACTGTCCTTAACAAGGCTTAGCAGGGCCCGGCGGGAGCCAGCTGTGGGCCTGTCTGGTTGTCCTACCATGTTTCCTCCCAGCAGAGTAACTGGCTGCAGAACAGGAGGCATGGTCCTGTGAGAGGTGTGTTAGGCCAGTGGCTTCGACAAAATCTAAAGATCATTAAAATGCTATTTGTCACCACAGGAAAATGTGAAATATTTAAAAATCTGCAAAACTCCTTGGCAAACAGAATGTTGTTGATAGATTTGACCATCACACTCCTAAGTATGTGATTTCTTGGCACGGGACCATCTCCACATGATTTAATTATTCTATTAGAGACATTTCAGATTTACTACACGCCTCTGAGGCCTTAGGCCATTGCTATGTTTATGTGTATTCATGGGGGGTAAATGTTTTGTTAGACATTAGCCACAGCCACTCCACAGTTTCAAGTTTCCAAATTTTTCAATCAACAATCTTTCCCCTTCAAAGGAGTGGCCTACATTTATGTAGCGATATAGGAGCGCAATTGACATTCTTAGGATAGCAGTGATTCCAGACCACAGATTCCTGTGGTGGACGTGCTCTCTCTGTCTGTTTTTGTCTGCCTGTCGCAGTGTGTCCGTGGATTTACAGCAGAGTGACAGCGCTGTGGTTCCTCTGCCCTCACCATGCGGCAGAGTGTTGGGCCAAGTGGCTTTAGCGCCTTCTCTCATCAACCAGTCTGTCTGGCTGGTTCAAACCAGTCTGGCACTCTACATGCTGCTTGCATGTGTTTCAGTGTCAGTGTCAGTGTCAGTCGTGTACGTGCTCTGGTACTCCGGTGTGTGTCAGCATATAACAAAACCCTCTGAGTCAGACGAGGGCACGCGCACGCGCACACGCACACACACACACACACACACACACACACACACACACACACACACACTGCTGGCTGACAACTTTTTATCTTTTGCGTCGTCGCTCCTCACGGATCGATACGTGCAAGCGACTTAATCCCTCCAATCAACAAAGGAGCTGCTCTTTCCGATTGGCAGAGAAAAAAGAAACAATCTTTTAGAGTTGCCTTCAGATGGACAATCAATGGTTCCCATCCAATTAATCAGACTGAACATTTGTATGTGTGTCTGTCTGTGTGTGTTGGTGTGGTGTTTGTGTCGGCCTAATCAATGCTCTTCATCCTTTTCATTAGGGTCTAAGCATGGTTTTCATTAAGGGGAAACACATTATGCCTTTGGGTGCGTGTGTCAGAAATGGATGGCAGGACCGCAGCAGCGGATGAAAGGCAGTGGGGAGAGACTTTTATGGCAGAGTTCAGTCACTGCAGACAGAGACTATGGTGCATAATAATCTGTTGTGGTAGTGTTTAGGCTAACTGGGCCTGGTCTCACAAGAGAGGAGTTCAGAAACCAGCTCACATCCTCGCAGCCATAAACACCACACTGGCATTCATTAGAAGAGAGCAGGGCAGGGACGTTGCAATTCTCCGATTTGTACATAATGAGAGCAGCATGTGTGTGTTTGTGTGTGTATGCGAGTTTCCGAGTGCCTCATTAACAAGGCATTAGGCTGGCCTTGATACCCAGCAGCCCGCCTTGCTGTAATTGAAACTGATTTTATAATGAACTTCAAGCACAGATCAAACCTGCTGCACCAAATTACTGAGTGAATCCCCCCCTCCTGCCCCCCCTTCTCTATTTATTCCTTCGCCGTTGCTCTGCCTCCTCAGACCCGCCTGTGGTGATTTGGCAAGCCAGGAAAGAGGGAGAGAAGAGAGGAGGAGAAAGAATGAAGGAAAGAGCCTTGTGGGAATATAACCTGCAAGGTAAGGCTCTGATGGGCAGGACAGGAGGAATGCACATGATATAAGCCAGCGTTTCACCCTGTTCTTGTAAAAGATGAATCAGAACATAGTAGAGTTTATTAGCAGGACATGGTTAAGCACCAATTAGATGTAAAGGGCAGGGAGGCTTTTAAAATGTCTTCACTCATCTGCTGTGCAGAGAGAATCTACTGTCTATAAAACCTGTGCATGGTGGAGCTATCTTTCAGCCGTCTCCCTGCTCTCCCATCAGTGCCGCTCGCTGGTTATTGGGCTCATAGATCACACGATCTCTACGAGATACTCCACTTGTGGAACATTACAGCTGGAGGACATGTTGAGGAGGTCTACAAACCATAAAACATGGCAAAGAATGAGATGCAAAGGTGAGGCTGAATTATCTACATATCATAAGTCAATACACAGGACGTGTGAGGACTGATTTAAAATATCTCAATATTTCATGGGTGGTCATTCAATCAGATAAGAACACATAGAAGTGTGAACTGCATGTCCAAATTAGGAAATTGAGCGCACCACTGCACTAGAAATGGGTCAGGGTTGTTGGGGAACATGGGATCTGTGACTTCCATGCTAGCTGGGTATTTATAAACAGACTCCATGGGGAGGAGGAGACCTAGAAACTTGCTGTGTCCTCCTAACTACACACATGCTCCTTGGAAGAACATGCAATGCGACCGCTGGCTTTCTCCCTTCATCCTCCCTTTTTCTCATCATGCATAAATCATGGTGTTACTGTACCATTTCATGCAGACTTCTGCCGGGGGCATTAAACCCCTGATAAAGAGTGTAAAAGTACTACCTTGAAAAGTCTAGCCGTGCATTCCCATGAACTGCAGCAGGCTGATAGCATGTGGGCCGTAAACAGTTAATGCCCAGACAGATGTTACAGCACTGATAAACTGAGGGAGGGATGTTAGCAAAGCGCTCGCATGCGGGTCACAGCCATCTGAGCTGATAAGAGCATGCAGTCTCACTTTAAAGTCTGCTCGAGGTCTGCATGCGTCTCTCTCAGTGTACAGCAAATGGATGTCTCCCTGCCAGGTGACGCATGGTGAGAAAAGCAAGCTAGAACAGCATATGTACATAAAACATGCATGCTTAAATCCTCTCCGCCTTGTTAAACCCCTGCACGAGCATACACAGACAGATTCATATGGGAAACGCATACATATCTTTAACGCGCATACTGCAACAAATGCCCTGCAGTGCCATGCTTCAAAGAACAATGCAGCTGTGGATGTCCCTGCATTTCTCTGAAATCTATCTCTTTCCGATCCACACTGAGATGTATATGATGAATAGCATTAAGTAAAAGTTAATTGGTAAAAAAAATTATATTACTTTCACATCTAAATATATCTGCAAATTTGATCTGACATTATCCTCTTGGGAAATGAAATTAGATGTTTCTGGATGGCATTACATGATGAAAGAACTTGTGGCAGGGTTCAGTTGCTTATGCCAAGTAGTCTGATATCATAATACAAAAGATACAGGAAACTGATTAAACAATGATCCAGACATAGGGCTAAAATTAGATTTAGTTATAACAAGAATGAGTTTAGTCTATTTACGATTGGGACAAAAGGGTTGTGCATCCGTGCATGGTTAAATTGGCCTTGAAAACATCTTTTTATTGGATTTTTATTGACTTAAGAAAGCAGGTATTGCGCTTACATCTCGGCCATGCTGTCAGGCAGGTTGGCTGGGATGGCGGTGAGACCTTTCCCTCTACAGTCCACAATGTTGTTACTGCAGGTGCACATGGCAGGGCACGAGCCTCCGCCTGTGCTGCACGGCTGCAGGCTGTTAGACTCCTGGTGACCTGAAGAGAAAAAGTAAAAGAGAGAAAAACTGCATGAGAGGTGAAGACGATATGATGAGAAGGGAATATGCGGCTCCTACAGGTGGTGTGAGCGCAGGTGGATGTGGTCGGTTTCAATGAGAGCAGAAGGAGTCTAAACAGGATTACAGGGGGGAGATTGCTTGCCGGAGGATTTGTGCGGTGACACGGAGGAGAAGCTCTTGCACTCAAGTGGAGCTCAAACTCTTCCGCTGTCGTGTCATCAACCCTTTCTGCTTTATAAAGTGAATTGCAAATGAACACACATTTCCCGAGATGTTCTGACATTGAGAAAAAGAAATGAAAAACATCCTACTCTTGACTTTACTGTAAAGCCGTACATCCTTGAGAATCAATGAGCAAGAAACTAGGTTATCTATTAAAGGAGTTCCACAGTATATTGAGAGGAGAAGAAAGACATGAATAATAGAGTTGGAGCTGCGATTGAAGGGCCCCCCAATAACATCCATTGATCTCTCTGCAAATTTTCCTCCTGAGTCTGCCTTCTCTGTGTGGAATTGATGCCATTCTGCACATTCAGCTTTACAGCCCCCACCTCCTCACTTCCATTTGTTCTAAAACACTTCAACTTTTCAATTTGCATACAGAGCACACAACCCATCACACTGTCTCTAGATACCTGTTCAAATAGCTGCGGCACTGTCAGCGATGTGGTGAAGAGCGGGCGCTTGCGCTGCCAGCATGGCGTGTTTGGTATGTGTGGTGTGTGTGTGTGTGTGTGTGTGTGTGTGTGTGTGTGTGTGTGTGTGTGTATGTAAGCCTAACCCAGATAAAATGAATAAAACAGACTTTTAAATGGCCTCATTTACACAGCATTACTAATCCAAGTTTCAAACCATGAATATTTGATTACCTTCCTATCTATCTATCGCTCAGCTTATGTGGAAAATGTTGGAAAGAGAGAAAGTGAGAAGGGGGGGGGGGTAGAGATTCAGGGAGAGGAAGACAGAGTGAGTGATGGTGAAAGTCAGTGACAGAGAAAGCACAGTGCTCCCAACTCCACTCCCTAAAACAGAAAGAAAGATCGCTGCCAAACATTATGCTTTACCATGAAATTACTGGCTTTAGCTGTGGGACCATTTAGCTACAAACCAATGTTTAAGGTCAGAATTCATGTATCTGGCCAATCACAATCAATTACCTGAAGGAATGAGAAGCTTTGACAGATCCCAGAAGCAGGTAAACACAACAAATAGCATCAAGAGTACACAGTCGCTCAACCCGCGTGATCTGAGGCCCTGTGATCTAGGATGGCAGAGGTTTGACAGATCTGGGATCAGGTGTAGGGCAGAGAAGAAGTCCCCTCTGATCTAACATGGCATATTTGACAGGTCTGGGATCAGGGAGAGTGCAGAGCACAGCTGGAGCGGCCTTAACAATGACAGCTCTCTGACAGGTATACTTGAGGTGAAGCTGTTTGATGTGCGCTGGTCCCCTGTTCTTTCTAGTGCTGTTTTCCCCATTATCTCTTCCCTGTCCGCCGTCTCTACCACTCTACTCCTGTCACCATTTCCATCGTTTTATTTGCTTCCACCTTCCTATCACACCCCCCCACCCCCCCCACCCCCCCACAGCTGTGCTCTCTGCTCACTCTCACTCCTTTTAGCGTCCTCATTTTCAGCCTCTCCAGGTCCATATGTCTGCCAATGACGGCCACTGCAATCCATTACCTCCTGTCCATTTGCTCGCATGTCTTTACATTTAACCTCACTCCACCTCATTTCTCTCATCATTTCAAAATGTTATCGCTGGCTTCTTCCCATTCATCTCTTTCCTCAAATTCCCTTTTAACACTACAGTTGGGTTCACCTTCTCTTCTCTCCCCTTTTTCCCTCTTTATTCAGCCATTTCTTCTGTTTCCCACTACACAAGTTGTATTTTATTCCACCCCTCAAGCAATTTATTACTTTATTACGCACTCCTCATTTCAAGCATAATATTTTCACTTCATTTATTATTCCTCAGGAGCAGTAATTCACTCCAACAGTCATTAATTTTCTGTCATGTAACACTAAATTGGCACAAGCAGATTCTAACTTTTAGTTACCTCTCCTGTAAATGATCAGAGGGAGCAAAGAGGGTCTAAATGTAAATGTTTTGCTCAATAAATCACAGCACCAGCCATTCAGACAAACTAAAGTCAATCTAATCTCAGCTAGAATCAGAGGATTATAAATAATTAGGTTGAAAATGGAAGTGGTTTTTAATTAAGGCCCATCATTTTTTATTGATTTTCTCAAAAGGAGCTAAAAGATACAGATTTTCACCAAGATTTTAAATCTTCTTGAAGTAAAAAAAACTTTTTACTTTTTTCCAGCTTTTCACAGTTCCTGCTGTTCACAAACAAGATCATTTTTCTGATAACAGTAACTCAGAAACTGCTCCCGGTTATAGACTGTGAAGATAAAAATGGAGAGAAAGCACAAATGAGCTGCTGGTCATGCACCAGTCCCTCTAACTAATTAAAAATAAAAGTGTTTGCTCTGCAAATGTTTTTTTTTTTTTTAAAATACAATTTGCAACTGGACTTAATTGTTTTTTGTAATCTGCTTTCACTTGTTTTGTTTTTTTCATCGTTCAGTAAGAATTCATCGCTTTTTTGAAACTGAAAATAATAAGCTTTTGATTTAGGTTTTGGATTTTTGATGTGATTTTTAGAGTTGATTGATGACAACTGACTGCCTGGAAAAATGTGATATAATTCCTCAAAGTGAAGCAGTAAATGTGTTACTCTGCTCATTACTGACAAAAATTTCCAATATCGTGACACTTTCCAGTTGAACACTGGGAGTGAGAGTCAATTAGTCATGATGCCGAGAGCGCTGCAGAATTTCATCAGATTTTGCAACAACTAATAACACATTGTACCCCGTTTTCCTTCTCATGGCTCTCACAACAACAACATGCCTCTCTTCCCCCTCCTCCTCTCCTGCAACACAGCGCCACCCTGCCCCAAATCCCCCGCAGGTGGCCTGGACTGGTCACAGCACAAACTGCGTACACATGCAAACACACAGGGCTGAACATACAAAAAAAAAAAAAAAAGTAAATGTGTGTGTGTAAAAAGTGTGTGTGTGTGTGTGTGTGTGTGTGTGCCAGTGAGCCAGTCCCTAATGAGTCCTTCACTGGGAGTTCAACTTCTGGTCACTCATCCACTCCAGAAGAAACTGGGAGCATGTGTTTGTGTGTGTGCACGTGTTTGCGTGAATGCACGGTTGTGTATTTATACACAGAGAGGCAGAAATGCATGGCGATCGAGTTTTGTGTTCATCTTTCTGTTTGTCTTGGCCAAAAACTGTGAATGGCCAACCATTATTGAGACTCACAGAGAACCAATCAGTGTCGGTCTACAACAGCTTTCTTAAATACAAAAAGAGTGACCAATTCATTCTTACATGACGGAAGCTAATATCAGCATGATGCGCAATCTGCAACCACCCATTATGCAAAACTTTAACTTTCTGTATCTGTATCCTACCAGACCCCAAAGTTTCCCTGACACCCCCTGCTCCCCTTCCGTACCGTTACACTCCCACGCTTTGAGTCTCTTTCCCTGGGCGATGAATAGTTAATGATCTGTGCTGTCACGCCGTATGGCTGCATAAAAATCACAACCCATGGAGAGAGAGAGAGAGAGAGAGAGAGAAGGACACACACCCACAAACACACACGCACACATAGACACAAACACTCCTCGCAGCTGGTGTTGAGAGTGAGATGGCCTTGTGGGGAGTGGAGGTTCTCATGCTGTTTTTCCATTGTCCTGATATGATAACCCCAATGCACGCCATGCCACGCCCACATGCACATGCACATGCTCTCTCCCTCACACACAGCCAGTTCAAAGCCAAAATAATCAATGTGCGAGGAGGTGAGGGGTCATGAATTGTGACAACTGAGGAGACGGGTATCGCTACTGCCTTTGCACCAGCTGTGTGTTTTATATGTGTCAGGCATTTTCCTGGCACCGCTGCCAGCTCCTGAAAGCTGGAGACACATGAAAGGGCCAGAGGAAAGCCGGGGGGTTGCCCGGTGGCAGAGGAGCTGTCAGGTGGCTGCCAGGTGAAGACATTGACACAAAAACACAGTGGGAGTGCACAGAGAAGAATATCCACTAGCAAGGACAAGGACTTTTTGGCATGAAGGATCCGATCAAAGTACTCATGTGCAACAATAAGTTTGTCATTTCAGCCCTTTTTGAGATGCTGTAAAACGAGCGTTCCCTATCTGCCGGACATGTAAATGACTAAAGAAACAATACACAATATGAAAAGCAGTGTTATTTAGAAGAGAGATATTGTTATCTCTCTTCTAAAGTCTAATGTAAGCAACTCCCCAAGTCCTACCTGAGCAGCTGAATTCATGTTTCTGCACCTCTGCCACATTGAGTCCTCTGAGCTCAGGGGGCCCAGTACACTGGGTGAATAGACCAATTGTAGGCCTCTGTCTGAGCCACTGCGCCAACCAGGCCAGGTGACAGTCACAGTTCAGATTGTTGGAGTGGAGGCGGCTGTTAAAAGACAGAAAAAAAATTGAAACATGGATGCATTAAAAGATCTTCGTAGCCTGCTTTGCAAAATACCACCTGCTGAAGACACAAATAGGATAAAAAGTGTCTATTCTTTCCTAGAACTCATTACACCCCAACCCTGTGGCGAAACACTAAATAATATGCTACATGGATGATTGTAAATGGCACATTCTAAAAAGGACAGACACTAAAGAGGACTTTTCTAAACCCAGTACTCCAAACACGGCATTCCTGGAATGCTGTGCTAGTCCAGAATAACTCTTGCTGTGGTGCGGTGGACCTCTGGAGCACGTACGCTAACTTGCAAAACCAAGTGCACAGACACAAGCTATATAATGTAACCCCACTGGGAGTGGGGAAGCCACCACAAGAACAGCGGAGTCACGGCGCTGAGAGTTTCAGCAGGTATAATTGATTTAATTTGCAGATAATTTCAGATTTAGTAATTACATACAATGCACAACACACAAAAGGCTTCTGGGGCTATTTGCATCTATCTGGGCCAGTTGTTGTTGTGTGTCCTTTAGATGGAGGGGATGAAGGCCCTTGGCATTGCTACAGACCTTTCTGTGGTGTTGTTATGGCTTCCGCCCAACAATGACTGGAATGACAGAACTTATCTACAACCGTTGACTGCAGCACTTTCTCTACTGTGCCTGGCTGCATGCATAGAATATAGTTTTATTTTTAAGAAAACCTCAGGAGAGGTAGAGAGCGATGTGATGAGATAGGTGTGACTTACAAGGTTCGTAGTTTGGGCATGTGGTTGAAGCTGGATACTGGGATGCTGCTGATGTTGTTGTTGTTCAGCGTTCTGCGAAAAAGCAAAGAGCGAACACAGTAACGTCGTCAGCGCAGGGGCAGAAAAAACATGTTTTAATTCATTCTTCAAAAAGAGTTTTGTTGTGCCCATCCTCTTCCACTACCCCCCTTCTCTTTTCTCTCCATCTCTCTTTGTGGCATCCCACTGGGAATAACACCTCATTCCACACAGATGGGAAGCCCTCGCACCTCCCACGCACACGTACAGTCATGCATGCAAATATACACACAAGCACGATCACAAGCGCCCCAACTTGTAGTTCACACACACACACACGCACGCACACACACACGCACACACACACACACACACACACACGCACACACACACGCACACACACACACTTCCCTCGAACCCTGGGCATCAGCTGCAGCGAGAGAATCAGGTCATTTCAATTTAGCCTAATAACCCTTTACCATATTTCAACCTGCTCCCCCTTTTAACACAACCTGTCCTCCTCCCCCATAAAACCTTTACATACAGACCTCATCGAAACAACACCCCCATCCCCTCTTACACCATTATGACAACCCTATCACTACATCTGCAATCCATCCATGCAATGAAAGCAGTCTTTAATAACGTCTTTTTTTTTTTCTTTTTGTCTCCCCACCGCCACAAACCCACATGCACGACGCAGTCTTTCACCATAAAAATAACAAGGCTGTCAAAGTGCCTTTGTCCCCCGGCCTGCACTGTGAGTCTACATTGTTTCAGGTGGAGAGCTCTCACAGAGGCCTGTGATTATGATTTTTGACAAGGGATGATTAATTGAATGTTTTAAAAAAAAAAAACAAAAAAAAAACTGCATAACATGGTCACCAACGTGCCCAGGGTGGAATGCTAAACTGAATAGGATTTCTGATCAAGATGGTTGGAGCTCTCCTGTCAGATGGCCCGCCCAGGGCTGGATTGGGTATAGAAGGAAGTGGAGGAGTGGGTGGGTGGGGTGTTAATGTGATCGAGGGGAACGCTTCTGTCAACTGTGTGGAACAATGAGTTAATGGAGCCTGGTCTCCATGATGCAGGCCCCCTCATGAGGCCCACTGGGGGTATTTTGGCATAATGACCAAGGCCATACTAACTAATTAAAGGCCTGTGCTATGTGTATATATTAGTTGTGGTTATTAGCAGGGCAAAACAATGTCTTAATTTAACTAAGAGCTTTAATGGAATGATAGCAGGGGAGGGGGAGCTGGATAAATAGCATCACTTCAGATACTTACAGCACTTCCAAGCCTCTGAGAGCTCTGAAGGCTCCGTCCTCAATGCAGCTGATGTGGTTTTTATCCAGCTGACTGCAGAACACACAGGAGAGAGGGGCTTTGTTACACCAGACACATGCACAATCTTTCACTCTCCCCGCGGGGTAGTTGTGATCGTCGATACAGTAAGTAGTACACTGATGGAATATGGTAAATCGATACTGGTTTAGTCATCACAGCTCATGTAACCCCCGAGAGCAGCAAAAGGGGACTTTTGCTGATTGTTTATCTGCATCGGCACACCTCATAAATCTGTGTGTCCGTGTGTGAATGCGTGTCCCGTATACTGTGGTGAAGATGTAAATCACAGTTGCTACGAGGCATCTTTGGGGAGCTGTGTGTGTGAGCGAGGTAGGTAGTCTCCTCAATCAGAGTGATATATAATCCACTGAACATGCATACACAAACACTGTTACAGACGGCCATTAACTCAGCCAGATAAAGAAAAAAGGTTCAAATGCTGGAATTACTTACAGTGGCTTTCAGTGTGGTTTGCCTCATCCTGGACATTCATTCACTCTTTATTGACTTATCACTTCACTTTCACTGAGTTATCAACTACCAATACTTCTGGAGCTAAAACAGTTAATTAATCGATTAGTAAACAACTAATCAATTAGAAACTAATATTTCTGAAACAAAACGTTTCCAGCTTCTCAAATGTGAATATGTTCTGATTTTCTTAGACTTCTGTGAAAGTAAACTGAATATCTTTGGGTTTTGGGCTGTCAGACAAAAGAATACATTTGAAGACATCATCATGGGCTCTGGGAACTCATGGCTGGCATTTTTTGCCATTTGCTGAGATTCTATCGACCAATCATTAGTCAATAATGAAAATAACTGTGAGTTGTTGCTCCAAGTAAATCCCTGTTGAAAAGGGTGAGGCACTCACAGGTTTTTGATGTCTGTAGCTCCTCTGAATGCTTTCCTGGGGATGGACTGGATGAAGTTCTCACTCAGATCTCTGTGGAGACAATAAGCAGACATTAGTTACACATCACTTATCCTTGAGGATGGCTTGCCTAGGTTTGTTCCGTTGAACAGGGTGTGTGTGTGTGTGTGTGTGTGTTTGTGTGTTCTTTAAAAAAGGTACAATACGAGCCTTTATGGAAGCAGTATTAACACGTTTCAACAATTTCCTCTGTAAACGTTTGATTTCCAGTGTTTAAAGCGTGCTTTTCAAGCAGCAGAATTCACTCTCTATTCAGTGTCACTCCCTTTTTTTTTTCTTTTTTTTTTTTACCACACTCATCGGTGCAGAACAGAAAGCTAAGGGCAGTGTTTTTCTTCCTCTCCAATGTGTGCCAAAACCCTGAGGTGTGGTACTGCATGGAGAGCTCTTCTCACAACGGAGTGGTTATTTTATAGTGGCTGTGTTATTCAGTGTTCACTCATGCTACAATTTGTTCTCTGGGCCTTAACCATTCTCTGGTGTGAGGTGCCCAACTCACTGCCTGCACACAGGCCGAACAAACGGGCAGCAGGGCAGCGACCAATGAGGGGTCCTCGCTGGTCCTGTGGGGTGGATTCATTAGGACGCAGTTGCACAAAGAACATTATCTTTTAGAATTAGACTGTGTGTGTGTGTGTGTGTGTGTGTGTGTGTGTGTGTGTGTGTGTGTGTGTGTGTGTGTGTGTCCAGCACTAAACGGTGGGTACAAATTAGGCATTTGAAAAGTGCATGTGTGTGGAAAGTAAGAGAGTGACAGAACAGAGGGGAAGGTCAGAGAGGAGAGGAGGGAAGGAGAATAAATGAAACACAAGTAGCCATAGTTTTAATTAGCAGAGTCTTTTGTCTGCCGTTTAAATGGTGAGCTAACCTCATTCTGAAAGGCTCTGCCCCTCTTCTACACACACACACACACACACACACACACACACACACACACACACGCACAC